AATTCAAATTAATTTAAAGACATTGTTTTAAAAAAAAATAAGGATAATTGAGAAGTACCCAACTAAAACATCTTGCTTGTAAAAGAGTAGGCGTGGATTGTTGTTACTTGTTGAACTAGTTTTTTTTTTTTGTTTCTATAAGTTGTTTAGGTTTATGTTAACTATTCTGTTGAGCTCAGTGATTTGTTAATGTGACTTGAGACAACGTGGCTAGTCATTCGAAGGTGTGAAAAAAAATTGAACTTGAGACCTCTAAGTTACTAAAAATCAGGCTCAACTACAAAACCACTTTTAAAGATTGTTATTGACGTAGTTAAAAGAAATAAGGTTGTGTCTTTACTAACAACTATAATTTTTTGTACAATAATAAGCGCTTTGATCCAACGGAGCTTTGATCAGTTAGTATGTCACACTATTACAATAACATTTGCAATAATAAGATACCTAAAAAAAAAGTAAATATTTAAAGTAACAGTGATACTAAATATTCGTCATTATTATTAGTATCACCATATAATAAAAAATTAATAAATGGGACACACATCCATTAAATGAAGCAAATTTAGCATAATATAAGAGGGCACCCATCAATTAATTGGGTAAAACTTAATTGATTTCTCTCTCTCTCTCTCTCTTAATTATAAGGTTAATAGATTAATTTTTACCAAAGACATTGATTAATCTCTAGTGTCTTTCTATTTATAGAAATTCTATGTTGTCCTTCGTTGGATTCTCTCTCTAGGGTCATTTGTAATAGTAATTCATTAAGTTTTATTTTTATAAGTAATACACTGTATTTGTTGTAGTAATTCATCATTGTGCATCACAAAAGAACATATCCATCCAATGTGATTGAATTCAGTATTGTCATTGACTTGTTCGTGAATCCATCCACTATTAAACTCTACTGATGATCCAACGACAATTATTAAATTTAGTTTGAATTACATTTACTTTGTCACATGATTCTAATTAGTGCTCATTATTATAAACGGATTCTTATTCATATATGTAGTGGATAATTAATTAATAAATGAAACTAGAAAAAAAAGTATATTAAAGAAAGTTTTATTACGTCTAATTCATTTTTTTAATTGGTTAATCATATAATATAAATTGAAGCAAGATTTATCGTACATAAGTGAATCCCTCATTTTTGGGTTCAATAATCAGGGATGTCTTAGATAATTTATGCACATATCGATTAATTTATCTCTTAGTCTAGTTTAAGACAGACCATTTATAGGGTATTCATGAAGGATAATTTTTTCATAACCTGAACTCAAAGAGTTGCCAAAATTCAAATTCAAAACGTCTAAATTTATAAGTAGGGTGTCAATTTTATCCGTTAACACGAATTCGACACAAATCTGATCTGACACAAAACTTGAAAATAACACAATTAGTTGACACGAGTAATAAGTGAATCAAATTAAAGTTCGACACGAATAACACAATTAATGGGTACTGTAAATAAAAAATAATTATTTAAGGAATATTGTAAATAGAAAATAAGAATTTTATAATTTTTTAAATAATATTATATAAATTATTGTCAAATTAAATAATTTTTTATTAACACGAATATTGACACGAACGTGACAGTACCTAAAATAACATGATATAAAAATGACACGACACGACAAGACACAATACGAGTGATACCCTGCTAACAACTCGTACACGTTACCTCTCATTGATACATAATGTATGTGGTAGGTAACAAACCAATGAAAAAAATGAAGGAAATAAAAAATAACTGAATCTATTCTCCTCCTAGTATTTCTTTTTGTATGATTATTATTTGTCAAAAAAAATTAATATATATATATATTTTGGGTAGAAAATGTTAAAAATAAATAAATATATTGTTTCAAGAAAAATCTTGGGAAAAAAAATAGGGGCTTAGAGAGGCCGATATCTCCCAAAAAATTTAATAGGATAAAAATATATTTTTAAAAATATTTGGGATAGAAATACATGTGCTAAAAAAAGTCATAAAAGTCATTTTACCTCTACCATAAATAGTGCATACCTAATTGAATGTGAGATTTTCAAAATTAGAATATGAGATTTTCAAGATTTTTTTGATATTTGTGTATTATTTGAATTTTGAAATTTCATATATATATATATATATATATACACACACACACATACACATGTAAATACAGTGATATCAAACAGTGACATATTCAACAAAAAAATAGTAACATCAAACAGTGACATGTTCAACAAAAAAAAGAGTAACATCAAACAGTAACACACTCAACAAAAAAATAGTAACATCAAATAGTAACACAAATATTTTTGTTGAGTGTGTCACTGTTTGATGTTACTGTATTACGCGCGTGTGTATATATATATATATATATATATATATAATTTTAAAATTCAAATAATACATAAATATAAAAAAGAATTTAAAAAGTCTCATATTTTAATCTTGAAAGTCTCACATTTAAGTAAGTATGCACTGTTTATGGTAGGGGTAATTATGAAATATATTTTAGAAAGAATTTGAAAATATGTATTTATCGACAATTATTTAATGAAAATTTAAAAAAAAAAAAATAAGTTTAGAGGTAATGCTTAAAGTTAAATAAATTTTAAAAAGATAATAACGTCCCATTATCCTAAAAAAAATATTGGCAAGAGGGTACTAGTACTAGTGTCTGTGCAGAGCTTGCTTTTTTGTGCATGGCTGGAATGAAGCGGAAGACAGCTGGCAAAAGGTACGGGCGGCTGATTCTCAACTAAGAAGAACAAGACCCGTCGCCGTTTCTTCTTTGTGTCCAGACCTGTGGGCGCTCTCTCTCTCTCTCTCTCTCTATGTGTATATCTTCACCTTTATATATACTACTAACCCACTCTTTTACATGTTGAAGAGCCATACCAAAGCACATAAACCCCCATTTTTAATGTCCACTTTGTCCTATTCTTTTCACCAAATGCCTCGTGGGTCCCCACTCTTAATCTTATGGAATTCATCAGAGTTGGTTTTGTGTGTGTGTGTGTGTGTTTGTGTTGGTGTGGGGTGGGGTGCCCCGGGGGGGGGGGGGGGGGGGACCTGAAGAGAGCTTAATTGGTGGTTTTCCTAGTTAGCCCTTGCCCATTATTGTTGTGTAGCTACTGCTGGATTAGGGGGAAAAGGAGGCAAATTTGGATTATTTTTGTAGATTTCTATATTTTTTTTTTGGGATGATTTGGATTTGAAGAACTAATGCATATTATTTTTTCAGATAGGTAGCCATGTGGTATGGGGTTGATATTGAACCATAACCTCAAATATTTTGAGTTCGACTCTTGTGAATTATTTTAAATTTAATAGATACCTGGACTTGGTGGATGATTCAATTTAGAAAAATATTACACAATCCAAATGAAATCTAAATGCATATCATATATTAGATCAATGTTAGATGAGTGGATTTCACTAAAAAAATTAATGGAACTCATTCATTTAAGTATACAACCCAAATAAAATCCAAAAATTACAATCCAAATGTTTTATTATTCTTTTGATGAGTATTGGATGAGGGAGTACTATTGAAAAAAGTTGATGAAATCCACTCATCTAAAGGATAATATGTATTTGAGTTATAATTTTTTGAATTTCTTTTGAATTGTATAGCATTATTCGGACGGAAACGATATGCATTTGAGTTGCAGTTTTTTGGAATTTATTTTTGTTGTGTAGCATTACTCTTTAGTTTATCATTATTGAATGAGTAAGTAGGTTTTTTAAAATTTTTTTTTGTATTTTCCATTAATTTTTTTTTAGCAAGCCTTTAATGTTCAGTTATGAAAAATATACATGTAATGTAGATGTAGGTCCAGGCTCATGTTGACAAATTCCATAGTCAGTTTTAGTTGTAGGAAATATTTGTCATCATCACTGTTGTTGAAGATTGAAGTTTCAAGATTTTCATAATTAAGAAAAAAAACATCTAAAACTTTGTGAAAGGATTGGCAAAATCACAAGTCAAAATCCTTGGATACTAGACAATGGGTTTGCACCCTCATGTACTTGTTTTTCCTAATACATTGGACTAAAATATTATTTGCCAAAATCTAAAGTCTATACATTTTCTGGCCACATGGTCCTAATATTAATTAAATATATAGAAATACCTAGTCTAATTAAATTGGTATAATAACTTGTAAAATGTTGGTCAACTCAACAAGTATTTTTACTTATTTTGCGATGCTAAAACTTGCTGGTTGCAAAGAAAAGTTGTGGAAAGTAAAGATTAGTTCATTCACGTCAACATATAAGTAATTTACTCTTTCGTAAAAAATGCAAGAGTTTGTAATTTGTTTTGCATTGAAAGTGGTATAGTTTCGTTGCAATATTTTAGAACAAGAATTTATAAAAACTCGGGTGGAAGAAAATTCATCTATATTTTTCTATATTGACATCAAAATAAATTAGCAATGTATATTGAATTGGTCATCATTACATGGTTAACATCTTCCAGACTATACTAATTTTTTTTTCTCGTTCCATAGTTCACTTGGATAGTAGATTTGAAGTCACTTCAAGCATTAATATAATACAATTCTATTCTAAGTCAAAAACAATTCAATTCAATAACACATGAGCTTGTCATATTCTTTCCCACATTGATGAAAAGTCCCAATCATACCAATCAATTAATCAACTGTACCTTTCAAATGTAGGGTGGCCATAGTGAATGCAACTTTTCTTACTAAAGGCAATGGCAAAATCGTAATATGATCCAACTCCAATGTCAATCTCTCACTAATTTTGTAATTAACTATTGACAGACCAAAAAAAAAGATCAATCTGGTAATTTCAATTACCATTCAAAATGGTCAAAATAAAATCACAGACAAAAAGGTCACAAATCCGCCATTTCTATAATCATCAGAGGGCAAATCCGTCATTTCATCCCCTCCTTAAAACTATCCACCAGTTCGCTTCCCAACACCACCATCCCCAGTGTACAAAACCCCACACACCCCACACACCTGTCTCTCTCTCTCTCTCTCTCTCTCTCTCTGCTTGTCCTCGAGCAACTCATCTTCGTCGGAATACCATCACCAAGAACGGCACCGTTTCAGCTCCGACCAGATACGCTCAGCTGAGAGAGGCTGAGACTGAAAGACACCAACAATACAAAACGCCGCCGTGTAATGGTTGACTGATTGATTTTCTTGGTTTCTTTTCCACACAAACAAAACGGCCACATACAGTGGAAGGTAAGGAGATGGGAAGAGTGGTGATGGGGTTGGCGGTGGGGTGTGCGGTGGCGACGTGTGTGATAGCGGCGGCGATGGTGGGGAGGAGAATTCGGAGTAAAAGAAGGTGGAGGAAAGTGGTGAGGGTGTTGGAGGAGATGGAGGAGAGTTGTTCGACCTCTGTGGGGAGGTTGAGACAAGTAGTTGATGCTATGGCTGTGGAGATGCACGCAGGTTTGGCCTCTGAAGGTGGTAGTAAGCTCAAGATGTTGCTCACTTTCGTCGACAATCTCCCGAATGGGTAATCATATATACGCTTTATCTCTCTCTGTGTCTTTGATGGGTCTTTATTTTTTTGCTGGTTTCTTTGACTGGTCTATTTTTTTTTTTTTTGGTGATTTTCTTTGATTGGTCTTTCTGTTCTTATGTATTTCTTGATGGGGTCTTTGTGTTTTTCGGTTTTCCTTTGATGTGTTGTGTTCTTCGATGTGTTGGTACCATGGTGATAAATCAATGTATTCTCTCTCTCTCTCTCTCTCTCTCTCTCATTGGCTTGTCCTTCTTGAAAGGGTATCTTTTTGTTAACCATGTGTTTTGGTTAATTCGAAATTTCTGGTTAGCTTTGCTAAATTCATGGTTTTGAGTGGGCTAATGTTTGATTTTCGGTGGCTCTCTGATCTCAGTTTGTGTTAGTTTTTTTTGTTGTTTTTCGCTCTATTTTTTCACCAATTCATAATATTTTGGGGGTGACTGCTATTTTGGTTTCTTTGTTTCTGTGTCTTCATCGACTCAGTATGGATTCACTTGGTTATTTGATGTGCATTTGTGTCTGGTTGCTGTTCTTATTTTGTCAGCATTTGTGGCAGAACTGTTCATTTTTTGTGATGTTCTTATTTTTGCATAAACTCTCATTTTTTTTGCGTTTAAATAATCTTGATTGTAATACGCTGTCTTGATATTGGATACTAACGAATTAACCTTTCATGAAACTTTAAGTATCTGGTAAATTAAATTTTATCTCTTCTTTCTTTCTGTTCAAATCTCAATTTTTAGTATTTTAACGAGTACATTGCATTGGGCTCCACAGGTTGGTTCATTTGTATGCGTGTGATAAACTAGAATTCTTACTAACTTTTGCTTCATTGAAATTAGTAAAACTTTCCCTTCTGTTTCCATCCATTAAATTTTCTGAATTGGACTAGGTTTTTTTGATGGGATAGCAGAAAATGAATGTTCAGACAAAATTTGATTCGACTCATTTACGTAACTAAGCAAATACATATGTTTCTATTGGAAATTATTTATTGTTGAATGTATTATTTGTTTTTCTTCCTCCCCATCTTTCACAAGGCTTTACCTTCCATTCATAATTATGGACTATTTGTTTCGATCACTGCGGATGTTCGACTACAAGATTATGGGCCAGTTATTGGTTCCATGGTCTTTGATGCTATGTTAACATTCTTCAGCCGCCACTGTAAGCTGGTTGTTGATTAAATTTTCTCTTCAAACTGGTAATTTCTTTGTTTATCATGAGGTTGGTATCTATGATGCTGTAATGTGATCGTGAGTAATAATTTTTCAGGAGTGAGAAGGGAATGTATTATGCTCTAGATCTTGGAAGTACTAATTTTAGGGTCTTGCGGGTTCAGCTAGGAGGCCAAAGGTCTGCTATTGTTGGACATAATGTTGATTGGCAACCCATCCCCCAACATCTAAAGACCAGTACGAGCGAGGTGGCCGAGTTTGTACCTCACATGTTCTATTACTTCTAAGCATACATTTGAAATGTGCAAAAGCATAGAAATTGACATGGTTTTTCTTTGCTGGCAGGAGCTGTTTGATTTTATAGTTTCATCGTTAAAGGGGTTTGTTGAAAGGCATGATAATGTTGCCGATGTTTCACAGACAAAAAGAAGGGAACTTGGATTCACATTCTCGTTTCCTGTGAAACAAACGTCCATCTTGTCAGGCACTCTAATCCATTGGACAAAAGGATTTGCGATTGAGGACATGGTTGGTTGGACAATGTTCTATGCTAAAAGTGTCTTTTCGAAAACGTGATACTATATTTTCCAGAAATATTCCGAATTTGTGAACTAATTGGTCAGAAAAATTCGTATAGTATTGGTGCCAACATGCTTTTTGCTTTCCTGTTTGCTGCGTGCATTTTCCATTGTGGTTAAACTATTGCTTCAACCATTATTAGCCAAGTGATATTGAGTTGTTGCAAGTGCTAGCTAACATTCCATTCCCTTGTCTAGGTCAATAGATCATCCTTAAAATTTTATATGAGCATATTGTTACTGTGCTACTGAAAGAGATGTTGGGAATAGATGCTAGAAATATAAACTAGATTTGATTTCTTGGCTTGTCCTAGTTGATAGTGTAAGTGGAGTTTTATTGGATGAAACTTTAATGGGTACAAAATTGTCTTCTTGTCAGGTTGGAAAAGATGTTTCTGAGTGTTTACAACAAGCTATGACTAAAAGAGGCCTGGATGTGCGAGTAGTAGCACTTGTAAGCACTTTCAGTACCTTTTGCTTAATTTTTTGTATGATATTCATTTTTCAGGGACTAATTTGGTGTATGTGGATTTTGTGAAGTTTGACCATGCAGTTCCTGTCAGATTTTTTATATAGTAGGTTATCACTAAATTCTTGTTGCAGTAGATAGGCTTTGCAGTGAACGTTGCTGTGCCAGTTTTCTGTCTTTTCACTCTCCTTCCCTTCCTCTCCCCTCAAAACATTATTAGTTTGTTTGGACCAAGATGATGGTCTCAAATGATATGATTATGATTGTGATGCTGATTGGTTGTCAAATAAATGGACGAGCAAGGAATATAGCAATTATAGATAATGTTGCAACCAAATAAATAAAATGTTGTCGGGGTACTTAAAATTTGCAAAAGTAAGAGATTATTAGTGTACTCAGAATATACCTATTAAACCAAAAGGCAAGTTTTACAAAACCACCATAACTCATTAAAACTAGCCATACTTTTGGTACAATGTCACTGGCAACCAAGAAACAACACTTACAAAAATTAAGTGTGGTGGAATATTGAGTTATGCAGTAAGCTTTGTGGTATTCATGTGGTTTTTTTTAAAGTTTTTCTGTAACAGACTGTGTACTGTATTTTGTGCATATCATATGCTATTTTACCTTTTCTTTAACACATCATTTAACTGAGTGCAATTCATGCATGGCTGTCTCAATTAGTGGCACCACCAGTGAGTATATCTGTCTAAGCAAATGAGTAAACATAGTCCTACAGAAATGAAATTGTATGATTAGAATGATAAAGAGATGTGCTTAATCACTCGTTACACTGTGTGTCGAAGTGGAATGATTCAAGAAAATTTCATCTTCCATTTCATTCTGTTCTGTTTGACTTTGTCTTTTAACTCACTAGGTTTCAGTCGTACTTACACTATTGTGTGCACATCTGTCTTGGCGATGCACTAAATTTTCACATGGGTAGAGAGATGGATGCATGCATACATGTTTGTGCTTATAATGTAGTTGTGCTTATTTATGGGAGGGATAATAACTTCTATTGGCCTAATCTCTGTCCTCTGGGCAGTTAAATGATAGTGTGGGAACATTAGCTCTTGGACATTATCATGATGAAGACACAGTTGCTGCTGTGATAATAGGGACGGGTTCGAATGCATGCTATGTGGAGAGGGCAGATGCTATAATCAAGTGTCAAGGCCTTCTTACTACGTCAGGATGCATGGTATATTCCCTTGAGTACTCTAGTTTTGCATTATATGTGGCTTAATGTGAGGATAAGAAAGCTTCTTTTAGTTGTATTGAATGCTTGTCTATTTTCTTATTGATCAGGTAGTCAATATGGAATGGGGAAATTTCTGGTCGTCGCATTTGCCAAGAACATCATATGATATTGATTTAGATGCTGATAGTAATAACCCTCATGAACAGGTAAAGTACGGTCTCTAGATAGCATATTTTTCTGGCACATTTTGTATTTCTTATATGTTAGTAACGATATCTTTATGTGGCAGGGTTTTGAGAAAATGGTATCAGAAATGTATCTGGGGGAAATAGTAAGAAGAGTAATTCTTAAGATGTCACAGGAGTCAGAGATTCTTGGACCTATTTCTTCTAAGCTATCAACACCCTTTGTTTTGAGGTATATATCTATTGTTACTCTCTCTCTCTCTCTCTCTCTCACACACACACACACACTAAATATGACATATGAAAGGGTTGAGTGAATGCTCGAGTTTTATGTAGTCTGCCTATTTAGGCAACTTGGCTCTTTCTTTTCCTTTTTTTTTTTTTCAACCTTAATTCGAGATGCTGTTGGGAAACTCTTTGTTTCATTTCAAATAATATCTCAGTGGTAGGGATTGGAAAAGAAGTGGAATATTGAGTATTACTTAATTCTTTCTTCTTTCTACTCTTCTCTTCTCATTCAACTTCTTCCAGTGCACATTATTTGTTATTGAAAGAGGAATTCATAAAGTGATGTTTAATGATTTAAACTGAGTGAAGTAGATGGCCTGAGCGATTTAATCAACTCATTTATTTTTGAAGGCGAATTACACAATAACAAGCTTTAACTACGCCATTACAGATAATTGTATGGTGAACATTTTGAACTAAAGTTCAATAACCCATTGCTTATTGTATAGGGCATAAGTTTTGGCTTTGAGTATCAGGTGTATGCCACAAGGTTTACATGAAGACTTATTTTTTGAAAGGAAATGGTCAAATATTTTAATACGATGTAATATCGGAAAAGGGCAAAGGTATCACGTAGTGCTGTGCCTCCTCCTGCCATACAATAGAGCTATAGACAAAACTGCATATTTTGCTAAATGATTAGCTACTTCTGTTAGCCTTTCTGCAGAAAGTTGATTCTTTGAAACGACAGAACTGCTCCTTTCCATAGTGAATGTCAGCTAAAATCAGACCCGAAGCATCAAATTCTCCTCCAGTGCCACTGATCTGATTCATTACAACAATAGTCTCCTAAAATGATTTTATCACACCCTTGTTGGAGAGCCAGATGAATAGCTTTTCTTGCAGCCAATAAAGTAACAATCCAAATAGCACATACACGTCCCATCCTGTTGGGTGGTTTTTTTTTGTTTTGTTTTGGGGGGGGATGGGGATGAAAAGTTGAACTTAATATGTCTGCATGAAGGTTTCCCTTTTCTGGACATTAAATTTTGTGAGAATGAAGTTGTTTCTAGTCTGATTTTGAATGGCTCCTACTTTACTGTGGAGCTACCGAGGGGGCTGGTTTGACCCTAGCAAATGTGAGAACATTTGAAGCACAGCAAAATTATTTTGCTAGATCATCAATCAAAGTTCTATCACCTAATAGTTAATGCATTGTATGATATGGGGGAATATCATCTGTGAAGTTATAATAACCGGAGATCGTCACGAAGTGTATTGTTAATGTTGACCATCTACATGCTCGGTCCATAATATTCAACATGGGTTTACATTGCTAAGTTGTGGTTGCATCTGTAGTTAAATCACTTCGTTGTTTCTTCACAATATTATTTTCAGGACACCGTTGATGTTTGCTATGCATGAGGATGATTCCCCCGACTTGAGGGAAGTATTAAGAATTTTGGAAGAGAGCTTGGAGGTAGATCTGTGTGCATCACTTCTTGTTGCGTTTGAGTTTGCATGGCTTACTTCTTTTAATCTTTGTTTGCTTGTTGGGTTTTGGCATTTCAGATCCCCGATGTCCCTCTCAAAGTTCGAAAACTCTTTGTGAAGGTATGTGATGTAGTGACCCGGAGGGCTGCCAGGTTGGTAGCTGCTGGTATTGTGGGGATATTGAAGAAGATTGGTCGGGATGGGAGTGGTGGCATTACAAGCGGAAGAATCAAGGGCGGAAGCCATAGTAAGATGAGAAGATCGGTTGTGGCAATTGAGGGGAGTTTATATACAAGCTATGGTATGTTCAGGGAGTACTTAAACGAAGCGGTAACAGAAATCTTAGGGGAAGACGTTTCCCCGTATGTCATCCTCAAGGTCATGGAAGATGGATCAGGTGTCGGAGCAGCTCTGCTTGCTGCTGCTTCTCATTCAGCCTCAAGTGTGGATATGGTACAGTAGCTATAAATATATGTTCATTATATATAGCCCCTGTAAATTGTAGAATTCATTTTCCATATTGATATTGACCATATATAAAAGCGAAGGTTGTGTATATAATCATATGTTCCTAGGTTTGTTATTGTATACGTGCGACAAATATTGCAGTATTATTTAACAAGGTTCCATTCATTTATTCAAAAAATGTGATATTAATGGTATCATCAGAATTCTTTCTTCTAGCAGAGCTTGTATAATGTGTAGACAGAATGGTTGTCTCAATTCCTTCCCAAGTGGTGTTAAAACTTTTTTCTAGTTTGTTTCTCTGGCTAGGAAATCAAGTAACTCCTCAGGAAGGTACCCTCTCTCTCTCTCTCTCTCTCTCTCTACAAAAATTAAGGTTTTTTGTGAATATTTTTTTACGGCAGCAGTGTCTATTGTCACAAAAAAAAAGTGTTTTGGGAGAAATTTTTTTTTTTTTGCGACGGTAGTGCTGTAATAATTTATTTGCTTCTGCAAATACTATTTGTGACGATTGTTGTTGTAACAATGGCGAGACAAGTTGTCACAATACCTTGATATAACAAGTAGAGTTTTAAAAAGTCTATGTGGTGGCAAAGTTTGTCTCAAATAATATTTGTGACAACAAAAAAATATTTTATGACAATACTATTCGTCTCAAAAAGACTAATTTTTGTAGTTGAATAATTGGCCAACTACTTGATTCAAGGTTAGGATAAATTATTTCGGATCAAGGTTGGGATAAATTGTTATTTCATTATTTTAATACCAATCTAATGTTTGGATGAGGGATTAATGTATTAGCATTAAGTTAATGAAGACAAGTAGTCGGGATACTCTCGTCCGTTTGGATATTAATACCAATCATATTTCATTTAATACTATCTATTATATGTCATTGGTTTATACCTAGTATGACTTGTTAAATGCAACTAAACAGTACGGAAATATCTTTACTAGTACTAAAACCTTGATCCAAATATGGTGTTAAATGAAAATTAGATTAATTTAATTTAATCCAATCTCATTGTTTAATACCTCAAACAGACATGCCTAAAAAAGGTATTACCATAGGTTTTGTTCCTTATTTATATCGAGTCTATTGAAAAGCAGAAAGGGGTCATGTGGTTCCGTCCAAAAAACACATTAATATCAAAACGCACACACACACACTCTCTCTCTCTCTCTCGCTTACAAATACACCAAAAATAACACAATAATGCACCAAAAAAAGTACATATACACAAACTAATAACAAAAAAATATAAACTAATAATTGTTGAAACTTAGAGTTTATTAAATTTTACGGGATGGATCACTAATCTAATTCTCACATCAAAAAGGAAGGTGCAACTCCCACATATTACAAATTTTTCTTTTTCGGTAAGTACATATTGCACAATTATGTTCACTGGTTGTATCTATTTTTTAATGTATTAGTACGTGTGCATTTTAGTTTATTAGTGTGAATATGTGTGTGTATTATGGAGTATTATGCTCCGATTGGTAGGTAAGATAGAAAGTAAGAAAAATAGAAAGTATGACAGATATACTTTTTATTCTTCAAGGAATGAAAGTAGAATTGATACACTTTCTATTTTTTGTGTTTAGTTGGATGAATGAAAAATAAAAATGATTAATTTTTTTTTTGCTGGCTAAGATTAGGGGTGACAATCGAGTCGTGTCGTATTCGTGTTGAGTTATTACGGATTTGTATTGAACAATAGTCAAATATAACTTAACTCATTTAACTAATTGTGTCATGTCGAGTTGCGAATTGATGGTGTCAATTTTGAGTTTGACTAGTTGAACTGAATATGAGCCTTTTATATTTCTTATTCGCGTGCCAGATCATTTTCAAGTTTGTGTTGAATTATAATCAATTTCGTGTCATAAAATTCATGTCGAGTTCGAGTCGTGTCATCGTGTTGAGTCGAAAATTTTCACCTCTAATTAAGATGGAAAACATATATTTTTTTTAATTTTAATTTTTTAATTTATTTTTAAAATTTTTTACAATATATATATATATATATATTTTTATCATTGTGTTTTTATATGAAATTAATGTATACATAATATATAGACAAATAAAATATATCTCAACACAAATAATTAATTTTTCATCCACTTTCTTTCTGATTTTGGAGGGATTGATTTTGGTAAGTTGGAAAGAAAGTTAATTCATCTACTTTTCCGTCCTTCCTATTTTCCTTCATTACCAAACATAATGTTTTATTTATCTTTCAAACTTTCTATCATTCCATTTTTTCATCATACCAAACAGAGCATTAGTTTGTTTTTTGTGTGTTTGTGTTTGTATTTTAGTGTACTAATTATTTTGATCAAATATTTATCAAATATTTAAAATGTTTGATCTTTCACGGGACTAAGTGTTCCTCTATCACAAGTGTTCTAAAACTAAATGTGTTTGCTTACAACTTGTGGAGACAAATTTCTTTTCCTCTTATTAGTTTTTATAGCAAATATGGGGGATAAATGTTCCACTACAAAATCGTATAGAAATACCCTTCATTTCATTTTCTTTAACCGCTATGTTTGGGTGGTGAGAAATCCTAGGAAAGCAAATGAAACATCAAGTTCAAGTTTTACGGTTTTTGTAGCCTTGATCTTCCGCATGATTCAGCTAAAAACTTGTGTACGAGGGAAAAAAACCACCTTGTACCTCTATTTCAAGGTGACGTGAAATCTAAAGAGCGATTACTATGAAAAGCAAACAAAATGGTCATGTCCTTGTAAAACGAATAAATTGTCAAAGATCGGGAGTTGAGCGGTTGAAGACACTACGATGTTTAGGTCAGAAAAAGTTTTAAAAAAAGCAAAGAGAATTTGTAGGGAAGAAAGTTTGTATAACTTAAACTTAAGCTTCTATTGGTATTCCCAACAAGTGATAGAATATTAAATGAATTTAGTGGGCTCCATTGTTTTATTAACTACCAATAACTACCTTTGCCATGATGGAATAGTGGGGTTCATCAATTCTATTTGTTGTTTTATAATTAGTTAGTGACATCACGTGACAATGATGATGTGGTGTCACCATTACACCCAATATTTACTCTTCTTCTAGGGTTTTGCTATTGGTTGTGCAAGTTGGCACACCTTTATCTTAGGCAAATTTCTCGTAACTCGTGTTGGAGCTTAGCTATCTTTGGTTCGGTTCCGTCGTTAGCGGAGTCAATCTTGATTTCTATCATCCTTACTCGGTTCGGTTCGGTTTGTTGCTCGACATCCTCATTGACCGTACAACTTCACCATCTATCTGGCTCAGTTATAGGTAGGTCAGTTCCAGGATTGGTTAACAGAGCCACTACATTAAATAGGCATTGCCAATCAAGAGTCCTTGCTACGTGTTCATTGTTACGAGCCTTTTCTGGCCACGTGTTGACATTACTTGGAATCATTAAATACTTTAATCATGCATAGTCATTCACTTGCCCCTAGAGAATGTATGTTGCTTGGCACACATCAGCTGATGTTCTCTGCCTTCAAGCATACCTTTATTTAATGTTGTGCATTGTTTCCTTAAAAAATACATTGTGCATCTTCTTTTTTCTACAAAGCAAGCCATTCGTATTAAATTCACGTCCTTTGAGCTTCAAGCACTGTGTCTTTGGTACTTCTTCCTTTCTTTTTAAAGCGTCATTCTTCTGAGTTCTTCTTCACTTTCTCCATTGTTGCCTACTTGAAGTTCTCTAAAGATTTTCTCAACTCATTACCTACTCATTACTGTGTTTTTCCATAGCTCCTTTAACCAAAGAGGAAATCCCTGGCTTCAAGGCCAATTATAAAAATCCAAATAATGTTAAAATTCGGGTGGCTAGTAAGGATGAGCCTCTTCTGGGCTTCAGGAAATCGATCCCTATTCACACCAGAGCCATCACTAAGGGTGGCGTAAGGTTCCCACTCCACCATTTTCTTCTATGGGTGCTTTCAGTTCTGAAACTATTCCATATTCATGGTTGCCCCTATTCCTTTAGAATTGTGATGCGGGTAGTTGCACTGAACAAACCTTATGAATGTTGATTTGGAGCTGTGGGAAATCCTTTACAGCTACATCGTCAAACTAGTGGGCGATAACAATAATTACTACTTTGCAGTAAGGAAAAAAGATCGATATGTGGTCACTCATCTTCTTGACTCGAACAAAGGCCACGAAAATAATATTACCGTTGTTTCTGGGAACTAAGAGCACAAAGCTGGCAAGGATCCCTGCTATCAATGCCCCTAAGAGGGTGCACCAGGTATTTGTTTTCTTGCTTTATAGTTAATCTTCCTTCATTTTCTTTATCCTTTTGAAGTGTTTTTGTTCCTTCTAGGTGAAACTGCAAAGTGTAAGGTTCCTAAGTGGTCAGTGAAGATGGAAGATTCGAAGAAAGTCTAGTCCTTCAACGACGACCTCTTATGCCGATATGCTTATGTTCTTCTCGCCTATACTCCAACCTACCATGCTTTCATCGCCGTACCTGACTTGTTGGAAAGCGAATCCCAAGATCCATTGACGACGCATATAAACCGAATATAAAAAATTATTTGCTAACCCTACAAGGCGGAATTGGAGTTTACCTTTTGACAATCACAGCACGAACGAAAACTGATGCAGATCGAACTGGCTCGATGGACCTAACAATTTTCTACCATATGTCCTTCAACGCCAAAAATTTGAATACAATGTGGGTTGTAATCTTTTGAATATTCTCTCTTACTCTCTTTTTGAAAGACCCCATATTAAAAAAAAAATTAAAATAAGGATAATATTATCTTAAGAGTTCTCCTAAGATGAATAAAATAATGGTAAAAAATTAGAATCATAGTTGAAAGATTAATTATAAAATTTGAGTTTTGCGCGTATTTACGTTGAGATAATTTGAGTTTTGGAGATGTTTGGAGTAAAAAGTGTGCCTAAGTAATTTTGTAAATATTTTTATGTCAAAATAAGGTTTCTACTGAATCCAAAAGGTCAAAAAACCTTGAGAAAGGTAATATGAGGTGTATTAGAAATTAGGAAGTATTCTGAAGTAAAAACCTATTTTGGAAAGGATTTGGATAGAAATGAATTTGACACTACCTTAGTATTTTGGTCATAACTCTTTAATCTTAGCTCCGATTGATCTGATTTTTGGAACTTCAAGGACTACAAAAGTGTATTTCACAAAAATTTCATGAATCGACTTCTAATTAGGTCAAAATCGAGTTGGA